TATTTAAACAGCTTTGGAAGATGATAATGATATGCTGCTGTTATCTGAGGAAAAGTGTCTGAAGATTAACACATCCAGGATAAATGACCACAAGAGAGAACTAGCTCTGGGGAAAAAAAAAAAAATTGAAAAAAAAAATCACATTCCTACATAGAAAATGCATTCCATAACAATGTTTGTTTGGACTGTTTTTATATTTCTAAAATTATAGCTTATTACTGTATTCTTAGATTTCAGACTTTTTTAGAAAATACAGTGCTTAGATTTATACAGGATTTGTTTAGATACTTATAACAGTAACACTTGCTTTATTAGTCATTTAGTTTTCTTTATAGACAAGAAGATAATCATTATTTTTTACAAGACAACAATTTTAACCTTTCTTAATAGAATACACAGGCTTGTAGTTTTGTCTCGGAGCAATAATTTAGTGACCTGCACTCTTGAGTCCCCATCTGAGAGTCTTGATTTTTATCCTCATCTTTCGTGAAGATATCTCAGCTGCTGAGGTATGATCTCTATGTATTCATTTACTAGAATATAGACTTTAAATATATATATATATATATATATTAAAAAAAAAAAATGTAGATGTGTTCAGGCTGGGGGCTGTAGGACCTGAAGAAGCAGGTCGGTACCGTACCTTTTGCCAACAGATGCATGGAAATCAGCTGCACGTCTAATTCCTAGGCGTAAGGGTTCTGAGTTCATTTTGGAGGTACAAGGTTTATAACAGTATTGATAATTTCTGTAACGGATTAATGTGGGAAAGCATGGGATCTTTTCAGGCGGACGTCTCCTTCTTGAGACCTACCTGCAAAATGAAAGAGGGAATTTTAATAATTCCATTAACAGTAATTTAGAGAAAATGACGTGATTTGTCACACCATTGTTTCAGTCAACTTTGCGCTGAAGTCGGTGCAAGTTTTGCCTGAATAGGTTATCTGCATCTAGAAATTTCTGAATTGGCAGTTCAGAAATACTTACATGAGAATAGCTCCTGGGATGACACTTACTTCCAAACGTGTGCCTAAACGCGGGCACAAAGCATGACAACTTTTCTGAAATCACGTGTTTCTAAAAAACCTTTCAAGTATGGACAAGTCCCTTGTTAAGGATTTCAGGGCTGTGATCTTGGAGATGCTATCGATAAGCCTTGCAGAATTAAGTTCAGATAAGGACTAATAACTGATTTTTTTGGTTAAATTATTTTTAAAATATCTTCCATGTATATACAATTTTTCCTCTGTTATTTGTACATAGCTCAACTCTCGATTTTTTATAATCCCCTGGGAAGGGAAGGGAGTTGTACATATTTAGCCTGAAGTGTTTTATGTTAGACTTTAATAAACTTGTTTTGTAATTTTCCCTCACCTTGTGTCTCCTGTTTATAACTGCAAGGGGTAGCACCAAAAGGAGGAGGGAAGCAGTCTAACATAACCACCCTGTCAGAAGGACGCGGGGCAGCCCTTTGCGCAGCACGCTAACGCAGCAAGGACTACTTCATTTTCTTCTTGGCAGTAAATGCACCCGATTTCTCTCACAGAAGATGCTTTGGGTCTGTTCAAACTACATTAAACAAGAACTTCATGCTAAATACAATCTAGTATAATGACTCATAGGTTAATTTTTTTTCCACTTGTTTCAAAGGGTTTGGGGTGGGGTTGTTCGTTTTGGGGTTTTGTTGTTTTTACAGAGTGCTTTGAAGATGTACTTTTTATGCTAAAGTAGATATTCTGTGGATTTCTTTATCAGAATTTGTATCTTAACTTATTTTTACTAGATTGTTTAATTTTACAGAAGGCGGTGTGGTGGCTAGAGCACACAGTAGGACTTAGGGGACCTGCGTTGTACCACTGGCCTGCTGGATCAGTCATTTTCCTTCCCTTTAAACTGGGGCAAAAATGCTGCCTTTCAGCAAGGTACTGCGAGCTCTGGAAGCTGAAGTAATGGTTTACAGAGCAGGATGGTGCTTGCTTTTGGCGCTAGAATAACTTACTTAGAAGACCATGGCAAAAATGTCTAGCCTATGTAAATTCTCTCATTCCAAAGAACACAAGATACATCTTTTAAGAATTTTAAGGTTTGGTTTTCAGAGAAAGGAAAGCAATAAACGTCTCTGGCGTAGGCCTATTTAAGCAATATGGGTTTCTGCATAAATAATTATTTTAGTTTGCAGGAAGCTGTTTATACCTAATTCAGTAAGAATTACTCTGCAGCCCTTTCTTACAAAGGAATGTCAAAGTGAACTGTAACACATGAGCTATTTTTATGGATATTGTCAGTAATGCAGAGTGCTCTTTTGGGCCAAGCCTCTTGCTGTCAAACAAGGGTTCAGAGAGAGTAAAAATATTTCAAAAACATACACTAGCAATTTTGAAAGTAGATGCCATTTATCCTGTTACATTTTGTGTATGATATTGTTGCCATCTTACCGTATCTACTAAAAATAAGAGACTGCTGTTGGTAGAGTAGGGACTGACTCGGTAGATTAGATTCCCTGTTACGCAGCAGATGTATGAATGACATTCGTCAAAGTAAATTAAGACTTAATTTGGGCAACAAAATTAGCCTGAACTTCATATACAGGACAAGGGAAAGAAGGATGATATATGGAAAAAATACACCTCGATCTGAATCTTGTAGGGGTCTTTCTGGCAAGAAATTGTATCATCAGTGTCTCGGTACCGAGAGCACTCTCTTTTAGACTGCCAGAGTATAACCTGCAATGCTCCAGAGCAGCAACACTCAGAAAAATACCAACTTTGATAATACAGGCCTATCTGATTTTTTAAAAACTTAAGAATTTTCATAGCATGCAGCAGCTTCTCAAACAATCACATGCTGTGTATCTTCAACTTCTGTTTTCATGGCTCTGTTCTTCTGTGCAACAGTATTTGAAATATAAGCTCCTCTCTAGAACAGGGCTTTCACAGTGCCACCTATGGACTTTATGCTTACCAAGATGACTACAGGTTACGATGTCCCTGTGCAGGCCACGAAGATAATTCATTTCTGGTCTCCGGCTCTGCCCTCGCCTTTTGGGTGTCTGTTAAGCTATTCTGTGAAGCAAACACAGGGGAACTCCTGGTCCGGAGCGTGAAGAAAGCTTGATCGGGTCTTACGCACGGTCTCTAGCAGGCAAGAAGGTTGAGGGGGCAGAGAGAGAGCTCCATGTCAACTTGTGTGTAGCAGAACAAACGTACCTGCTCTGCGGCCTTACCTCTGGTTCCTCTTATGACACTAAGTGCTTTTTGGACCAACGGAGCCTCACTAATTTGTGTTTGGGGGCGGGGGAGAGAAAAGAAAACCCCAACACTTACCACAGCTATCAATACCGCTTTGGTCATTTCAGCCTGGTAAGGGGTATCCAACCGTCTCCCTGTTTCTCCACTACCACTGTGATAATACAGAATCAGAACATCAGCAGTTACCTCGCTGCTTATAGGCAGTGTTGTTGAAATGACTTTCTTATCTTTTTCCCCTCATACTTCGATCTCGTAGGTCTTTTGCCTGCATGCACGTACATTGAAGGATTACTCTGTTACTTACTCTGTCCTCGTTTTTAACAGGCACGTTTAGACATGCACAAGATTGCACTAGTGAAAGCCTTTGAGCAAACCTCTGCTGTCCGATTTGGTGACTTTTTAGGAGCATGGATCTAGTCACTTCTACAGGTGCAAGCAGAGTGGGTGTACAAAGGAAACAAACTGAGTGATCCCCAAACTTCTAAGAAGTCTGTATCCAAAACATTAAACAATTTTTAACTACCATTATATGCATATGTTGTCTTATTCATGTGTAGGAGTTGCCACATGGCTCTAATGATACAAATATTTTTAAACAGTTTCCAAGAGACAGGAAGAAATAATGAAACCAAGTGTGGTGTTTTTCATTTGTAGTACAAGAAACAAGTACATGCTGCAAGTTAATCAAAATACCATTTATATACCAGGAAACTAGGTTCACTGGCTTTAAAGTGCCAGCATTATAGTGGTTTAATGCTTAAGTTCATTTAACTTGGTTAAAAAAAAAAAAAAGCCACTCTTGGATAAAGATCAAAAGCATGCCATTACTAAGTAAAAGGAGAGAGTATGTAGAGTGCAGCAGCAACAAACGGGTTTACCCAAACCTCTCTCAGCTTCAACAGGAGCCTTGTTCTACAGCATAGCTGATTTGCTGTCAAGCAAAGCTGCTGCCCAGCGGCAGTCCAGGGTGGAAGCTTTTGCCAGTTTGATCTGCCTGGCTGCGCTCCAGCCTGCAGAGATGCGGCGACATTACCTGTGGGTTCTCCCTGCTGCCTGGAAACCTGACTGCAGAGAGCACGGCCCAGGAGGAGCAAGGGCAGCTCTTCCTCCGCAGCTGCCGTGTGGAAGAGGACCCGGTGGTCATGGCGTTCCATCCATCGGCTCTGCTGCTGCTCCGAGCCAGCCCCTGCAGCTTTTTTTAAATAAGAAGCACTTGGCAAAAGTCCTGATCTGAGAAGGTCTCGTAAATAGAGCGGAGTAGTTCAGCTGCTAGGAGTTCAATTCATGCATCTGCGCTGCTGCAGTCTGACCTCTTCGCGTGGCCCTAGGCAGTGACTGTTCTACTCCCTGTTACTGATGAGAATACCTAGTGTCACTCTCGGTGCACTATCCTGTGGTGAAAATGTTTTCCTCTTGGCATGTTATTGCACTAAATTCATCTGTCACCTGGGAACCCTGAACTACAGCTAATCACGGTAAGGCGAAGGAGATATAGTCTGCAATAGAAACGACTGCAGCAAAATGAATGCATTTTCATATTAATAGGCTTTTAATAGCTTGGGCATTTTTAGCAACAAATTTTAGGGTCACTGGTTTGATATTTTACCTCTAATGCCATTTCAAGTGTTGTTAGATTCCTTCTACACTAAAGACCCTGAAGAAACAACATTTGGCAAGTTTGATCCTGATATAATCTATTTTACTAGAAACAAGATAGGAAAACGTGAAGCATATGGAGCGCATCTGGCCGCTACCTCACTCACAAGTGTTCTGAAACCGCCGCAATCGCCAGACTGGCGTTAGCATCTTTGTTCGTCACCTCCCCACAACGCGGTGTCCAGTAGTAATGCTTCTTCAGGCCGTGGGAGAGCTCCGCAAGGTGAACGTGCCCATCCACTTCATACGGTTCCACGTCTGTACAATTAAGTTTCAAGCGGCCCGTCTGAATTAATTCTGAAAATGCCTGAAATGAATAAGAACAAGAACCTGACATATAATATTCCACTTTGACTGCAGTGAAGGCTCTAGAAGATAACACACCACAGGTGAGTACTTGATCATTTCAGTATGCTGATGTCCAGCGAATCTAATTACAGCACCACCATATTATAATTATTTTAAAAAACCCCAGAGTGAACCAGGTATCTTGTTCACCAATTGCTGTAGTCTTCCCAATGACTGTAAAAACAAATTAGAACAAACAAACAAAACTCAACCCTCTTAGAAGAGTTCAGAAACAAACACTTACCATACAGGTGGCTTCATCAAATTTGTTCCCCCAAATGTAAATATAGGCAAGTTCCATGTTTGTTTTCATTGCATCTGAAAGAGCTACAAGTCCTTTGCCGCTTATGTTGTTGCTTACTACTGACAACCTAATAAGCAGAGAAAAGAATTATGCAAATCTGTGCCAAATCACTGAATTCCCATCTCCCAGTTAAAACTAAGAGTTTAACTGTGATTTATTCTTATTTCATATTTTATCACTATATATCATATATGGATATTGAAATTTTATATTTGTTATTAATAAGGTAATTATTTATTTGTATCAAGTCCAGGCCTTCTATAAAATCTTTTTCAGGTTGCTAAAGGCAGTTTGGACTACGGACTTGTACTATTTCTCAAGGCATTTCCATGACGCGTGCAGCCAGGTTCTTCACTATTTAGTTCTTCAGCGTCAGTGACTTAGTGCGCGGTGCCCAGGTCTCATCTCTAGTCTGCTTTGAAGCCCCAGCCTTGGCATTTATCCAGGCTAAGCTTTGATCTTTGTGGAGTGGCAGTTATTTTTATATTAGTGAACCTGGAAAGCTTTCAGAGGCACCTAGCAGCCGCCACCTCCTCAGTCTGCTACTTAGAACTAATGGTTTCAGGTAACACCTTTGATCAGCTTTTACATCCTGCCGGCGCACGGTTTAACACGGGCTACAAAAAACACCCTGACGGAGGGATTACAGCTCTTCTGGGTTCACCTGGAAGCTAACTTAAACAGAGGATTTTCTTAAGTGTTGAAGATCAGAATCAACAAATATAGTGCCTTATCCCTGCGTGGAATCTGATTATCTTAAAATTCTGAAGATGTACAGCTCTTGGTTTGTTTTCGTTTGCGCGCCACAGGGGCCTACGCTTTAAAGACGCAAAAAGAACTAATAAGATCTAATTGCCTTCCCCCCTCCTTAGAATGACTGTAAAAGCTGTGAATCACATGTAAGATGAACCACTACAAAACTGATCTAAGTGTCAACCCCAAAAAACCCTGACGTAGAAGAACAAGCGTATGTCAGGCCACACAGCAATGGGTACCAGACGAAAAAAAGGAAGTATAAGGAAAAAGGGATAAAATGAATTATGAGTAGGGCTGGCAGTGTGGGAAGGTGAAGACGAGGCATTCCCACCCAATCTGTCATTCCCATTTTTTTTCCCCGAGAAAGAAAAATGGACTAAAAAGTTTGGAACTTCCTGACTTTTCCATTTTGATCGGTAACATCAAAACACACAGGTTTGATGTCAGTTCAGCCACTGCAAAGTCTGAGCTGCTCCTAGTCTGAGCCGTTACACCTGCAGCCTCCGGGGAGGTTACGTAAATACTAACGCCCGAAGAGTCCTGTTGTGCAAAGCCAAGGCGTCACTCAGGTAGATGGCTCCATCATCTTCTATTCGGTTTGCACTAAGATCTAGGATTTCCAGGGTTTGGTTTCGCTTTAGAAGTTCTCCCAAGATTTTTACACCATCACGGGTTATTTTATTACTGAAAGAGAGATGCACACATTTTTTTCAAAGGGTGCTAAGAAAATGAGCGTCTAATGTTAGTCGGGGCTATGTCACGTAACGGCTCTTACCAGCTAAGATCAAGGTATCTCAGGCTGGCGTTTTCATACAGTGCCTCACACAGTTGCTCTACACCAAAGTTTTTCATTTCGTGCTTGCACAAATGTAGTTCCACAAGAGAAGAGTTATTTTTCAACATCAGAGCTACATGAACTGTGGTCTCTTCCTAAAAACATACACTCAGTTTTATTAAGCTGTACTTTAGGATAAGGTATGGTCTGGCTTGAGGAAAAGGGAGATGCACAACCAACGGCAAAATTCGGTCGTCGGTAGTGTCCTATTTTGTATATTGCAGCTTTGTATTAAAAATAGCCAGGAAACAATGTTATGATAATGCTGAAAATAAAAAAAATAAAAATACCAGAAAGATCTTTGCAGATTTACAGTACTATTATATATATATATATATATATCTCTGCAAATGTCAGGAGCATCAATGTTTAAATCGTTATGTCTAATCAGTTTTCCTCCCAGTTGTTGCTCTTAAAAACTGAATGGTTGAGTCAGTCTTCACCAACATTAAAGGTATTTTGTCATGACGCTAATCTATTATTTCATAAAAAGAAACAGGATTGCTATGGGAAAAAAGCTGTCCTGTCACTGTAACACAGAGTAAGTTCGCTTTGAAGTTGTTGCATTTAGTTAAGAAAATAACTGAGTGAATACTGTGAGTCAAAAATAAGGCAACAACCCAGAGGCCTCAGAAAATGAGAGAGTTGAAGGTGGGAAGAATGGCAAATAGAGTCTCCCACAGATACAGACCAGGCCCTTCATGGCCCATATTTCCAAGAGCAGTAGTTTAAATTTATTTCTAAAATGGTTTAGGCAGATCAAGCCCTGTCTGAGTAGCAAAGAAACAACTAAAATCTGGTCAAACTGTTGAATTCACCTTTGGGGATTTAGGAAGATCTGGCCTTCATGACAGTTTAATTTTGTTATCCTGCCATCAGGAAAATACTGTACCTATCACAGACATCTGACACCTGCTGCCAGTCTGGTGAAACCACCACCACGATGCCCAGCAGCTGCAAGCCTGCAAGCAAAAGCCCCGCAGCTCCGCGCGCCCGTACGCGTCCAGCGGCCTGCGGTGCTGCCCCCAGCAAACACTGCCTTGCAGATTCCCTTTTTAGTGCTTGATTGTTTTGGAGGGTTGGTGTCTTTGTTTTGGCTAACAAATGCACCATAGGTTTTACATTGATGAGGTTCATTCACTTGTTAAATTCATGCTTCAAGTTCCCATAATGCAACAACAAAACCACACAGCCCAGTGAATATGGCATATTGTTGAAGTGTGCCTTTCTTCTTCAGGCTGCGGGCTCTGTATGGCACTGCTCAGATAAACAGCAGCCTTTTGTTCTTCCCCTCATTTCCTGCTAAACAGCATTTCTCCCTCAGTGTGCTGAACGAGGCATAAAACTCTCCATGCTGTAACAGCAGAAGGAATACTTGGTTCTCCAATACCAAGCCCTCTCCATTAGCCCATTATTTAACAAAGGCATATGTACCAAGAAAGAAATTTTTTAAAAATTTACCTTCTAGTTAACAAGGGGCAGACTGTGACTGCACAAAACTTGGCACAGAAAAAGCAAAAGAATATTTCTGCAACCGTTTACTTCACTTCGTAAGGAAACCCAGAGAGCCGTGTAGTTCAGCTGTCCATAAATACATCAGTACTGACTTGACTTATGCTTCTCTCTTTGACTGAGCTGACACTACAGAACACTCACATACCTCTTGGCTGTATAGTAAAGGACGATTTAGGTTTATCGCTTTGACTGATTTGTTCTGAGTCAGGGCTGTTGCTATTGCTATTAGACACTGCGTACCCTGGAAATGAAAATAAATAAACTCTTTAGAGAAACCTGTCCAACGTATAGATCCAGCTACCAAATTACCATGCCTTCTTAGAATTGATTGTCAGAAGATCAAAAACATCAAATGAGCTCAGATTGGAAATACTATTATTTCTGCCTCCACAGGCTCTGGAGAGATGCAAGTGCAGCAGGCAAGTGCTTACAGACACAATGTATTTTCTGATAATACCAATGCCAACTCCCTGTGGAATAATAGAGTGGAATTACACTAAGAAGTACAAATGACCATGAAATTTGGCAACTCAGAAAATAAAGAGCAAGAATAACGCATCTCAAAGATACTTGTCCATTTAATTGATCCTGTATTTTGGTTTTCCTGATTTATGAATTAAAACCAGCTTGTGTGTGTTCCCTAAGGTCTTTGGTAAAAGTCTTAGGTAACATTTATCCACTAGGTAAATTCATACTAAATGTGAATTAATGTGGTACATTAGAGAGAGAGTCTAGAACACAGGCCAGTTCAGATTTTTGTATTTCCTTCTCGCTTGCTCACTAATTTATATTTACATTATTTTCCAATTAGGCTGGTCTACACCCAAAGCTATTTCATTTTAAATCAGTTTTCTATCGACTCCCTACCAAGCGTAAACATATTAAGCTTTCAAATAAATCCTACACTGGCTACACTTCCCTTCTTTATGTTTTCATAACACCCTTCACAGTTTCTGTGAGCTATTCCCCCTTCTAGTTTAGGAGTAAATGCAGTAATTTCAGGAAACAAATATAATAATAAAATTTTCATCTGACCCCAGGTCTCTCCCTACCTCCAGGTGCTAGTCAGAACTGTTAGGTTACAGTCGAACTTACTCCTCCTGCCCACCATACACTTCGTTATCTCCTGGAAAGATGAACACCCTTAACAGGAAGGCTGAGAGTGGCCCATCTTAATCGTACTCCTAGCTTGGTTAGAGCGTTCTCCCCGAGGGCAAGATACAGGACCAAACTCTCCCAGGCAGGGAGAAGAACCACTTCCATTTTCCAGCCCCCCGATGTGATCACACAAGGACAAACCATCAGTCGGGCGCCGGGACCTTGCACCAGGAGGAGGTTCACAGCTCCAGCTGCTCCCTCCTGATGTACCCCACAAGTTTTTAAAAGCCACCCACAGGCTTTCACTGGTTAGAGTGGGAAGCGCCCTGCTTAGTGCCTTGACCCATTTCTACCCTCCTGACTTGCCCTCTGCACTGTGTAAGAAGTCTCCGTGCCCAACTCCAAGAGGCAGCAAGTTATCTAAGATCAAATCGGATGCCTTTCCACTCAATTCAGCACTCTTGTGCCTATGTCCTTTATGGGTCGAGCTCTGACCGGAGCAACAGAGCTATGGGACTGGGTGACTTTCAGGTGTTATAGCACTGCACACTTTAGAAGGAAAAGAACCTCCAGGGAATAAGAAGTCCTTTCTTCAACAGGAATTACACAGGACTTAGCACAACAAAAATGAATAGCAGAAAGAAACCTTGGAAAATGTGAAAGCCAAGCTTCTATGATTCTATGATAAGCACCTGAATTCCCAGGGACATGGCGGCTCTAATGTATCATCAGGTGTGACTTCACAGGTGTTTTACGCAACATGTCTTTCCAAGTACACATTGCAATATTATATATCGTGTTACCTCTAGCTATCACAAAATGTAAAATCACAGGTGGCATTTTCCCCCTAACTAAGCACTGCAGGACCTTTGCAATACCCTTGAAAGACTTGTGTCATTGCTGATAATTTTACTGGGTTACTCACCATATCACAGTCTCCAAGATCCAGTTTCTCCAAGGTTGAATTAATTTGTAGCATTGAAGCAAAGAACATCCCACCTTTGTTTCCTATTTTGTTCCCAGTCATTCTCAAATACACCAGAGTTTCATTCCTCTAGACAAAATTAAGGACAAAAAAAAAAAAAAAAAAAAAAAAAAAAAAAAAAAAAAAAAAAAAAAAAAAAATCAATTCCTTTTAAATGGCCTGAAAAACAACACTGTCCTTTTTCCTGTGAATCCTGCTGGTTGTCACACCAAGACAAAACATCCCTCTGGAATAATTGTGTCTAAGTGATAACACTGACTAAGCAGTTGGCTCAGGCTCCCCACAGCGGAATCAAACACATGAGAGTCTAGAAGCAAAACTCAAGTATGTGAAAACTTTTGTTTCTCCCAAGTTCACAAATTTCACACTCATGAAAATAATCCAGGCAGATATTTCTGCCTAAATTGGCAGCTGAAATGCAAGTTATATGAAAACTGATTTGAATCTAGTAAGCGTATTTTAAACAAGAATACAATTATTTGCATTATTTTTTATAGTCTTTTAAATCACACGACCAGTCAAAGCTCAGTGAAGTCGCTCGCCTTCGGCAGGACTACTTGGTGCAGAGTCAAACCAGTGTGTAAGTCTTTGCTGGACTGGAGACTTCTCTGGTAATATAAAGTTCTGTTCAGAAGTCTAGAAAAGCCAGCATGTTTCCCCTCACCCTCCACAGAATTTCAATGGATATGAAATATCTATTCCCTGTTAAAGCCCCAAATGCAATGCAGAGTGGGTTTGTATTTTCAACTCCTCAGTACCACTCAGAGATTATGATTGATTAAGTGATTACAAAAGAAGTAGTTCTGCGAGCAGCAGAACTAATGTCTTCCACATGTCCCCAGTACACCTTCCTCCGCTGTGGTATCTCCCTACAGCATCTCCTTCCCCTCCCTCCCTCAGGAGCACCCCCTCTTCGCCCCCGGGTCCCCCCTGCCCCACGCAGCCAAGGGGCTGCCTGGCTGGTTGGGTCCTGCCACCCGCCCGCTCTGCAAACCCAGCAAACGCTACCACAGGGCTGCACAAAGAGCTTTGGGGGTTGCTCACAAGCCCAGTGTTGTACAATCTACTGTACAACCCCAGCGTTTTGGAGGCCAGTCAAATTTAGTTGAAATCAGTGCAGAGTTCAAAGACTATGAAGGAGGAAGCAAGAGCTCACGTGAGTCTCATTTCATAAACACAACCAATCGTACACACAAGCCTCATTTCCTTGGGAAACCACATTAAAAATAACAAACATGTTTTTATGCTGCTGCTGTAAGGCAAAGTTTTGAAAACATGTCTCAGACGTCTTGAGTCAAGACAAATATTGACATCAAGGTACAGGCAAATTTAATACAACTTTAAAAAAAAAAAAAAGGAAAAAAACAATGGCATTATATATCCTATAGCATAGCACAGCATTTTTCACACAGAAAAATCCAGCTGCGATAGTTGTGATAATTAAGTGTTAATGGCAGCACAGTGCAACTTTCTCTTGTGTGAAATCTGATTTCTGAAGTCTGCCTTGGGAAAACAAGCAATCCCTGTGATACAGCAAAAAGCTGAATGGACTGAAGACAGAGGGCCCTTTCAGCCAGCTCTGATGTTGGCAGGACAGCTAGTACTGTTCATCAAAAGCAAAACTATCAAACGAGATGCCATTGTCTACAACTCCCAGACAAATACTCACATGGAGTGCTTTCGCTATCAGCACTGCTCCACTTGTGCCAATATCATTAAGCATCAGGTTAAGGTACCGCAGAGTGGAGTTTTCCTTAGGAACAAACAAAGCAGAAAGCAACGAGACTTTTTTTTCAGAGCATGCCTGCATTTTTCAAAAAGGAGCTGCATCATACACCTACTCAAAACCTTTGTCCTTCGCTGCATTTCAGGCAGCCCCTGGTTTGCAGAAGTAGTTAAAGAACGCCAAAGTACATCAGATGATGATGGAAAGGCAGAAAAAAGTGTAGTGTGTAGGTCCTCATGGGGCTTACAGAAACCACCTGGGAACCCGTGTGCTCAGCACAGCCAAACGAGGCAGGTGGTCAAGCTCAGATGCAGACCTGCAGGCATTTTGTGAACTTAATGGCCCTCCCTGAGCTCCAGGAACCCAGGCACAGAGCGGCAACTCACCATTTTCCATCTGTATTCCAGTGCTGACAATAACAGAAAGGCATCATTAAAAAGTTTCCTATATTTAGACCTACAAAAAGACTAACAGATATGATAAAGTATCTAAAACAAAGGCCCTGGCACACTTGACACTACCATTCCCTCCTTTGCTGAACTGAACTGTAAGCCTAAAAGCCCCACAGTTTATTCCACTGTTCTTTCTTCCTGATACCCTCGCCAAATGTCCAACCGTTTTCTACCAGACATTTAAAGATGTCCCCAGAGAATACAGTCGGAGATTCTGGTGGGATGGATTTGGATGTGAAAGTCAAAATGAACGGAATTTTGCCAAACAAATGCATTCTTGTCTCCAATTTACCACAGATAAATATTATCATAGCCAAATAAATTTTAAGTTGCTGAATGACAAACATAATTTTGGCACCTGGAGGAATGTTGCCATGTGCTTTGCTCCAGCATCAGTCAATACATTACACCTAAGATCCAAACCTGAAAAAGATGAAGAATGAAGAATGTGACAGATGCGTATCTACAATTAACTGATCTCTAAACAAAAAGAAATAAAGATGAACTAAGGCTGAAATCAAGACTGCTTATGTTTTCTTAGATTAGCAACAAACATACATGAAAAAAGCTTACCTGTGACAAATACGGTATTGTGTAAGACAGAGGCAAGAACCTGAAGATCGTCATCTGTCACTCTCTGCACAGGCACTAGATGATTATTTCCAGCTATTTTTAGTGTGATCCCTTTTGCCCATCTGCTGGAACATAAAAATGTAAGCACATGGGGAGAAGTAAAATGATAGAGAAAAATGAATTCTCTCTCCAGATAAGAAGTGGATCCATGCTTGCCCTCACTGATGTGGTTGCATGCAGTTAGCTGCTGCCGCTGCCTTTGGTAACACCATGACAGACGACGTGATTCAAGCTGTACCTCAGCACTGTCCTTTTTGATATTCTGAAGACACTGCACAGCTGCAAGACCACGCTTAGCACACGTGCACGGAAAGCAGGAAGAAGCAAGATGAGGGGAAGGTAGATGGAAATAAAGACTATCCTGGATGTTACCTCATCATCTCCTTTTTACTTTTTCACTTTCCTTTACTTACTTTACCCTGCCCTCAGGATCAAAACCTAACACAAACCATTTCACTACGCTGTATTTTCTCAGGTTTTCTCTGCAGAGGACAATTAACTTTGACCCCAGGAGCATCCTTGAGAGGAAGCCCTACCTAGCCACATAATGAGAGAGAATTTGGGTGGTTAATACCTTGGCAGGATTCAGAGACAGTTCAGGGAAGCATTACCAGCTGGAAGCTAACTGGATGCAGCTGAGGCTTTTTAAACAGGAGGGAGACGAAAGGAAGGGGGTTAGGATGACTAGATACTGGGTTTGGCTTCTTTAAGGGACACAAAGGCACCATCCTGTACATTTTTCACTTTTTTTAATTTCACTGCTTGTAAAGCTGCCCAGAAGGGATATGTAGCTACAAACCTCTGCCAAGATGATGTCAAGATGAGTCAAACCAGAACTTCAGCAGTAAATGCTAAATATGATTTGCGTTTAAGCCTGAAACTGCATGAACTTTCTCATTCTTCAATCCCTTGTCCTGCTATCTTGTTTAAGGCTTTCAGAAGCATCTGAAACAGGCTGTTTGTTATTTCCTTACATTTTATCATTTTTATCAGCTTCTTGAAGCACATGAGCAATGAAGGGGTTTTCAGGTTGGCCCAAGTTTTGGCAGGCCTGCACATAGTGCTGGTGAAGATCTGGATGAACTGACATGACCTGCTGGAAAACAAAACAAAGTGTTACTGCATCTTTACAGCAGCCTAGCAACATCACCATGGACCCAAGCGCTGGGCTCTGCGTAACAATAAACATGGGCTTGGTCTGAAAAGGGTTACAGCTCTTGGTATGCAACACAAGAGTAAGAGATAGACACAGACAGACAGGAAAAGCATGAGGAAAAAATGTGGATTTCTGGATGTGTTCCTGATCCGCCATCACACAGGATCTGAGCTAACAGAGAATTAATATTCATACAGGCAGGTCGTTTTTCCCTGTAAAGCAGCTGGGCCCCCAACCTCTGCAGGCCTACCTGAGCGATCAACGGCTGTGCCCTCTCCCCGCGGTGACCGGCCCACGGGCGAGCTCTGCCCCACGGCCGAGCCAGGCTGCTCCAAGGTCAATAACGTTTGGTAACGGAGCCCGTTTCCAAGGAGGCTGTCCCGGGCGCTCCACCAAGAGGGAGCGGGAAGGTGGCCAGGCCCAGCCCGGGGCCCTGGCAGGAGGCCCCGCCGCCGCCCCACCCCGCTGCGGTGCTGGGCCCTCCCCACGGCGGAGGCCTGGCCGCATCGCTGGTGCCCAGCCTCTGCAGGGACGGGAGGGGAGCTGCCCTCAGTCACCCCCAGAGTATTTACTTAGTGGTCTGCCCGCGGTCGCCGAGGAGCCTTTGCAAAAATTTCCGTGGTTACACAGATTAGCGGTTACTTCAAAGGTGCCTGTGCCAGTCCTTTCCACCGAATAAATCCTTCTAGTGACTTCACTACTGCCCTCGTACGCAGGAGGGGTGGGCTGGGGCCGCACGCTCTCCTGTCCCACGGCGTGTGGGGCTCACGCCCGAGTACTGAACTCATAGACAATAAAAAAGAAAATACCCTCGTGCAACATCTGAATTAGACTGGGAAGCCCAGCATGGGTCTGTCCCCACGGTGGTCGCTCAGTTCTTCCTCCTTGTCCTGGTGGCACCTGGAAACCACCCATCTCTGGAAAGGCGACGTCCTCCCAGCGCTGTTACGGCAGCAGAGAAAAGGGCGTGAGGTGGGAGATGACAGGCAGCTGCCTCTCGACCTCCACTTCCTCTCTTATGTTCTTTAAATGTCAGCTGAAATGTTTCTTCCGTGCAGACATCAGAGGTTGCTCAGGTAGTCGCCCCTTCCCACCTCTCGCTCTTTCGCTCTCAGCAACAGTACAGCTTTGAGGGTTATCAAATACCAGATTCACCGGCATCTCTCTGGCTCAGAAACCACCAAGTCTTACAGAAGAAGGTGCCACCTTTTCACAATAGGACTCTTCCAGTTTTACAATCAGCATAGCTGAAGACAGATCTCAGTCAGTGTTTGTAAATATAGGCCTTCAAGACTCAAGGAGGTTGCTTTGTCCAGCTCCCCTCACTTCACAAGCTCACCCTCCGAATTGGGCTGTTGGGGCACTTCAGGATGCACCGGGATTCAAAGATATGATCCTGCTCTATGGACTGCAGGATTTGATCTCAGTGAACACAAGCAGCTTTTTGCAGGGGTACAGTTGAGACTAGAACCTGTCCCCAAATGCTGAATTCTGCCAGTATTTATTTAGCATAGGAAGGTCTTTGAGTACTGTTATTTTTAATTTTTTTCTCTTCCGAAATTAAAAATAAGGAGCAGGGATGGCGGAGTCTCAGCAGAGCCAGGAGGCCAGCGCAGGGGGCACTCAGAGCCCAAAAGCTGACTCTGTTGGTTTTGAGGATGACCATGATCAGACTGCACAAGAAACACCAGTGCCAGAGAATGAAGCTCTTTCTCCCACACGCGTCACAGACAGGATATTTTTCATCGATTTAGCCAACAAGCAACTGCGAACCATCTCGTCAGGGGTCTTGAGTCTAGAATATCTGGAAGAGCTGCACATGGAAAAGAACCTGATCGTAAGCATCCCCAGAGACATCAATCGCCTGAGGCACATGAAGGTCCTCTACTTGGATCAGAATCACATACAGGACATATGTGAAGAACTCGGGGAGCTGAAATGTCTTCTGAGCTTAGATTTAAGTAACAATCCCCTCTCTTGTAGTTCACTGCCAGTTATCAGCAAGTTGCAGTCCCTTCGTCAGCTCAGGTTCTATAAAACAAACTTGCATGAAATCCCAGTGCAGATCTGTGAATACCTGCATCATGTTGAACTGCTTGGCCTTTCTGACAATAATCTCAAGTGTCTGCCTAAAGAAATAGTGAACCTGACAAAACTCAAGGAAATTTACCTCCAGAAAAATAGATTTAAAAGTTTTCCCAAGGAGCTTTGTCAGATTGCTAATTTAGAAATAATAGATCTGGAACAAAACCTAATCGGTTTCATCCCAGAAGAGATAGGCTTTTTGACAAACTTAGTTAAGCTATTTTTAGCTTTTAATAACTTATCCTCCATTCCTCCTACACTGCAACACTGCCAGAAGCTGGCTGTGCTGGATCTGTCTCATAATCTCCTGCACAAGCTTCCCCCAGATTTGAAGAATCTCACCGAAATGAGAGTACTCAGACTGTCCGCCAACAGCCTGGAGAAGTTCCCACGTCAGATCTGCTGCTGGCCGTCCCTTTCCCGTGTTTATCTGAGGAACACCGGACTGCGCACAGTACCCAGGTCTTTCACCAGATTAACCAGTGTCAGGATACTAGATCTGAGTGAAAATTGCTTTGATGAGATTCCTAAAAGAATATGAAAAATCTGGAAGTATGGGCCCTGGATGGCAATCAGATACAGAAGGTATTTGTTCCTTTGTTTTTATTTTTGTTTTATTGATACCTCCCTTTTGCAAAATCTAAGTTCTTCATAACAGCCAAGTGCCACCTTGCATGTTCCACCTGGTATGCACCTGAGCCTGGGTTACTCATTATCACTGACATCTGAGTATTCAGGCAGGGAGGAAAAAGCAAGAACCTGAAACACTGACCTTTGTGTTAATCTTAAAGACGAAATACTGACTGGAGGGACTGCTTCAGTCATTTGCATCTTTTTTTCTGTGTACACTGGAAAATAAGAGCTGCATTTGCGTAGAATCGATACGTCACAAACTGAAACAGAGCAGAAGGCAATTTAAAAATGAATGTGATATTGTCAATGCCTTTAACATCATTAACATTTGCTGTTCATTTGATAATGAACAATTATGTACCCTAAAGCTGTGCTATTATAAATGTAACAGTATTCATGGACATACTCATTTTAGGGCTCAGAATATACCTTCCTTTTTATATAATGCAATGCTTCTTTTCCAAGGAGACTTTCACTTGTGCAATTTTCTTCTTGAAGGTTACATTTACAGAAGTAGTAATTTATGCAAAAGCATCACTTTCAGATTTCATTCATTTAAATTACTCTTCCCTGCACTGTGCATACAAAGGAAATGAAGAAGCAGACTAATGTTTCTGCTAAGAAATAAAATTAACCCCATAAGAAATCTTTCCAGCAGAGGAAACAACATGGATTTTTTTTGCCAAAATTTCCACCATACTGTGAGGGATAATGTTACATTAATGAGCAGAATATTCTGCGTTCATCCATCAACAGTAATGCAGCTCCACAGCATTTTCTTGGAGATTTTTCCCTAAAAACAGAATCCCAAAGATTACTGTTTAATAGACATAATGTATCTTTTTAATGACTGTGTCTAGATACCTGAGGAGGTGAAAGAACTGACAAATTTGAAATGCCTTAGCCTGTCTGAAAACCAATTCAGTATCTTTCCAAATGCAGTCTTTCTCCTGGAGCCATTAGAGAGATTATACCTGGGACAAGAAAAAGGAATTAAATTCACAAGTCTGCCAGTAGACATCAGCAAATTGCAGGTAGGAGCAATAGAGGGGGAAGATCTTGGTCTGCTGCGGCATGGCACTTCCGTGGACTTCAGCTGCTCCCAAATGCAGGACTGAAGGTTCTCCTGATCTCTTTAGGTACATGGTGCAGCATCAGGGCTCTCAGAACAGAAATAATATCAAAACTCAGTGTTTGAAATTCACGTTGTCTCTCTGTGTTTAGTAGTCATCCTAACGATAGCTCAGTTTATAAACCTTACTTCTGCACTTACTGATATTCTCTGTACATTGATTATATATGAAGCTAAGGAAAAGTCCGTTAATTATTAAAAGCTATGCACACATATTTTCCAGAATCTGAAAGAACTGCATATAGAGAATAATTGTCTGGAGTACCTGCCCGCAGCCACCGGCTCATTGACCCACTTGAAAAATACTCGACTGTCGCAACAATCTCCTTAAACAGCTCCCAGACTCTGTATGCCAAATACAAGGTGAAAAATAGTCTTTGTGTTTGTAGCCTTAACGACACAAGTACCAGTAAGCATTCTGGAAGAAGGAGGGAGAGAAGGGAAGGAAGAAATGCAGTGGATCATTTAGAGCTCATCCTGTAATTGTAAGGGAGCCAAATAGGATAAAAGTTAGGAACTGGGAGGGTGGGGGAAGTGCTGTGCCCAAGCCAAGTGGACAGGAGGTCCTCCCCCATGACCCATCTCACCCTCAGGAGTCCAAGGAAAAGGGTGTTTCCCAGAGCTCAGCTCCAAGCAGACCCCGTGATGTGAGAAGACCCGCTGGGTCAGCACCAGTGACCCCAGGGGGGTGGTGCAGAACCAGCTCTCTGGGGATGCTCCCCAGCCCAGTCTTTCCATCTTCCCCAGTTCATTGCACTTCTGTGTGGCTTAGTTCACTAGCACTGTTGGTGTACGATGAGCAGGACTTTTGAAAGCTGGATTTGGCCACCTGGCTGCCAGGTGAATAGTCTTTACCTAGTGAAGTAAATGCTTTGCTAGGAGAGCCCGAGTCCCGTCCTTCTATACTTGGGAGCAGATACTTTGAATTTTAAATGCTCTGGTGAGATGTTCAATACACACATTCATGACATGCACAGACTGAATTGTTTGTGCCTCATCCATGTGCTGTTTATGGGGAGCACGCAGG